CCGGAAAGGACATTTTTTCAATTTATTTGAACAGCAATCAAAACCTTAGAGTCCTATGAGTTGTTGTAGTGATTTACATAACTACCCCATTTTTTCTGGAAACAAACCAAACGGCTGTTCTATTTTTATGTGGTCGATTTATTATTCTAATTCCTGTAATGCTGATTTTTTTTATTGGTACAACTAATCTAAGTAAGAGCTATTACTGAGAAACATATTGCTACCTAAACCCAATGTCACTACTGCTTGAAATCGTGATATCCCAGGCTGGTAACGAATTTGAAAATTTTGAACTTTTGAATCACTAACTCTAACCATCAATCTAGGGATTATTCATGAATGAGACATGCAACCAAAAAATGATGTTTTATAAGCATAAATTCTAATGTATATCAAAGAGTTTGGTCACAATTAATTTTTACAGTGACGTTATAGTATTACGAATTAGTACATAGTTAAGTTTGATTTAGTATTTACGATACTAAAATAAAATTTATCACAATTAATGAAATAACTACCCACCTGATATAAAGGAAATAAGCGCAAGCCATTGATGAACTCATATTTTAACCATGTATTTTAATATAGCAATCTTAATTTATTACTTTGGTAGATTAAACTGTACTTACGTAGAATAAATATCCGTTTTTCAATTCATGTCGTACTATGTAAAAAAATATGCATTTGCTATATTAATCTATTCATAATAACGCGAAATTGTACGATGAATTCGACAAAATTCTTGTTTTAAATACGACAGCAGAATTTCAACTACAAGTTGTTTATATTGAGTTAATCTATAATTTTCTTTAAAGTTGATTGAAAGCTAATATTATTCCTGCAAAATAAGCTATTTTTTTTAAATAGTTTTTCATCTGAAAACTCGATATTTTGACGAAAATTAAAAAAACATGATTTGTTCATTGTTTTTTTTATTAAAAGATGATCAGGTGATTTATCTAAACGCCTACATTAACAAACATTCACAAATCGGCCGGTATTTCTGGAGTTCATTCAATTGAAAGCACCTGAGTTTAATACTCTTCATAAAAGTTTTTGGTGAAAGGATTTATTTATAGATTTGTTGACAAGTAAAATCGTCCCACACTTGTTAACCGAAAATAGACATTTTCGTGAAATCCATTCATGAGGAAATATTTTTTTGCAAGAAATAGATATAAGAATAAATTGAAGGAATAAATAAATAAAAATAGTGAACTAGTGGTGCAAGGCATCGTGCCCGAAGGCAAATTGCTGGAACTTTTCATACTGAAAATTAATATTTTTAAAAATGCTTCAATTTTTTTTAAACTTTAAAAAAATTAGATTTTTGAGAATATTGAATTAAAAAAATAATAACTAGCGGTCAAACATTGGTACGAAACCCATAGAAATGTGTCCAAAATGTGTACTTATTATCAAAATCTCTATCTGATAATTCGATGTGCATATGGGTAATGATTATTTTTTACTTCCATATGGAACTTTTTTACATTTTTTATTGGTTCTCCAGAACCGCTGGACCTGCCTTCCCAGAAATTTAATTGGTTCTCTAAATTATATCCCAACATACATACATACACACACATATATCCACTTTTTCTAACGTTTGTCAAAATGTTCAGAAACCATTGAAACGTAAAGATATGCAAAAATTTTCATTTTCGATTTTTTTGCTATTACTATAACTTACACTATGGGAAGTCAAAAAATGGATACAGGTTATACAGATTTACATTTCAAAATAAAATTACTATTGAGCATTATTGCTTTCTCATGGCGTTTTTTTTCACTTTTTGATTTGGATACTATCCATTTAGTATTATATGTGATATTATATTATAATATCGCATATAAATAATATGATATTATGAAATCATATTATAAATTTTAGTAATTTTGTACCTTCTGTTAATTCAATTTGAAACTTAATGCTTTCCCACTTTTGTTCGATACTTGTGTTTGCTGGCTTACGCTTACAATATCACAAAGTTAATTAATTTTCCGTTATAAAATAAATAGACTTAATTTCCAACTTTAATCTGATATGTATGATTAATAGCCAAACAAAATTTAGTATCCAAGAAACCAAACTGTTCTGTCGTCTAGTTTAGGCAATTATAATCTGCAAAGACGCTGTTTGCTTTAACTTAATACGGCGTTGTTAATTATAGGAGAAACAAATGCAATAAATCTCCTCCGAAGTCCTTTTCGCACAGCCAGCCGCGGAAAACGATTCTTCATAAAATAAAGAAGAATAATCCGAGAAGGCCATTAACGCAAAAAAGACGTTGTTGAATATCGTTTTGTTATTTTCCATGAGTCATCTGTAATTACTTTGCGCCATATCAGGCTTGTAAAGAAATATAATGCTTAGCCGAAATATAAACAGTAGAAAATTGTATAGAACTACATAGATTGATTTACGAGATGAGTTTTTTATGATTACCATCTGTACATTAATAATATTATACTATATATGGACACACTAACTTTATTACAAGTGAACTGAAGTTCACACGCGAAACACAAGATGCTGATGTGCTCATTTTTCTGTTGTAAATTGTCTACAATTAATTGAGTTGCTATTACATGTTTAATATCTGTCTGCCCTACATGTAAAATTCACATGTAAGATTATAACTTTATTAAAGAAACTTGTTAAATATTGAATGCATTTGAATCTTTTATTTCGCGGGTAAAAAGGGATACCACAGATATCTCAAAAACAATTTAGGTTAAGAATTTTTCAACAACAATATTTGAAAGTAGAGGAAAAAAGATGTATAACCAGGCAATGAATAAACCAGTGAACCAATATATAACCAGTTGTTTAGTTTACAAGACCTAAATAAAATTTTTAAGTCTGCGTTATTTAAACGTTTTATGAATTGTTATTTTTAAGTTACAGTCAATAGTTTTTCTTATATAACATTTATGAAAGCTTACATTAGGGTGAAATAAAGAGGACCATCTGAGCTTTTACTCTAGCAAAGGTGTAAATAATAAAAAGTAGTCAATAAAAAAGTAAATTAAAGTACATTACTTTAATGGAAAAATGCAACTGTGTATTTTTCACTATTTATATATCGATGTCATTTTTTATACATAACTGCTAAAAGATTTACTTAATGTCTATGTAGTACAGTTGTAAATATATTGTTGAATAAAAAAATGTTGAATATTAAAAGCAATTTCATAATAGATAAGTGAAATAAATGGTTATTCCAACTCTGCTGATTTTTGACGAAATACAAGATCAAGGTTATATACAATGTTATTCCAGTAAAAATTGTACCCATGAAATATATATTGGTTGAATAATGTAGCTATTATTTTGTAAAATTCATTTAAAATTAAAAATAAGACATTGGTTCTGTTTGCCCCTTGGCTGTTCCATTATACCCCGCCTATAGAGTAAAAAGGACAAGGTGACAATTTTTTGTAAAAACATCAAAAAACACATTTCTATAATGATGAATTTGCTGGGAGTTTTACTTACTATAGTGAGATAGTTGTTTGTTTGATATGTGTTATTTGTTGTTATATTATTGGTTTGGTTTTCACAGTATAATTGCTGGCAGTCATTTTGGACCTTTGTACCCCGTCCTACACTATATAAATGTGACAGTAAACACAATTGAACAAGTTTTATGAGCTTTGTGCAGACTTGTTTTATTTCATTCTATTTGGTGAATTCATTATTACAAATTGAGAGTGGTAAATTTCTTATTGATACTGCAATGCCGGGCAAGGGCTATTTTCACTTGGAAAGAAATTGCTATTTATAATTTCGTGTAAAAATCGATGTCACTATTGCTTGACATCAAGTAGTCATCGTACCTGGAAATTTTGATCCAAAAATCGTAGTTATAACCACTAAGTCACAGGGAAGTTTTATTCAAATATTATTTGAATAACTTTTAAAAATTAAATCTTCAAACATTCTTTAAACTAAAGAATTTTTTCAACGTTTACTATGGTATTTTCACTGTTTTTCATAATCTACTCTCATCCGCGAATAAGTTATTTTATTATTTGCTTATATGAGATATTTCATAATATCATTTTCTGTTTTGCATTATACTCGCTATCTTGCCTCGGCGTGGAAATCTTTACGAGCTAATTTTCTTCATATCTATATTATTTCTCAAATAATTCGTTATGAAAATCAATACTTACTTTTGTAATTTTTTGTACGGTTTCATATAACAAATTTTATGCGAACAAAGTTTAATATTTCTTCAATTGTGAAATCGAAGCAAAAAGTAATAAATAATATTTTTCAGTAATAATACGATATAATTAATGAGTTTAATCGATTGTAACATATGTTATGAATATGGTGTTAATATTAAATTTATTATTTTATTTTAAGTATTAGTTCTATTAGGTCGTCTTGATTAAACTGTTCGTCACTGATTTAATGTAAACGAATCCTAATTACTTTATAATTTCGGTAATTACCTCTCCACATTTTCATGCAATTAGAGTAGTGTGACTCGTCTTCTTTGTTTCACATTTCCAGTTAAAATACTCATGAGAGGTAACCATGTACTCAGCGAGAAGATTTTTTTTATTTAGTTGATATTTTCACAAAAGATGCCAGAAAATTTGGAAGTTTCAAATGATTTGCTCACGTTTAATTAACTTAATTACATTTTAACGATTGTTCATTGTTTTAACGATAAGTTTCAGTTGTAGCTCTTTCGCCTATGGTAATATTTTGCTTATAATATAATACATTGATTTTTTTTTAATAAATTTGGTATAAATAAATCTAAATAAATACTGACACAATGACTTATCACAAGCGCAAAGAAAAAACTTTTTTATGTGTTAATATAAGTTTCATCATAACTTAACACTAAATAGAGTAACTTTCATTTTTATTATATATTACATTTTATTATATGGCTTGATGGTACTTCTCAATGGTATTTATTACCGCATACCTTATTCGCCAGTTCTGTGATCTATATATTTCCCTTTGGTTTCAGTTAAATACCTGCGAGAAGTAACGCCATACTTCAGGAAGGCTTCAATAATATCAGAAGTGGGATGGGAGCTGCAGCGCGGCTTTCTCGGTGCACCGCCACCTGCGCCGCCTTCGCCTCAGAGAGCAGACACGCGCTACATACCATTGCAGCTCACATGCCTGGGCAGAAATCTGCGACATCACGATCCTGGTGAGTTTGTGATATATTGTATCATGGTTGAAACGTGACAACATGAACTGATGTCGTTTACTAAGAGGATATGTGGCATTTGAAGATATAATAATCTTGAAATGATCAGTGCATTTTGTTGAACGAATCTTGTGGTCTTTGCAATTTAGTTGGATATAGTTGAATTTAGTTGGATCTAGTTAGGTACTTTATTTTGCTAAATCTATAGATTTCATTATTAGCACTTTTATCTATTCGAATATCATTATTACCTACTTTTTATTATTTTTTGAGTAAAGAATTGAATAATTTTGGCAAATTAGGTACTTCCTATTGTTAACAGTTTAAGATTGAGAAATTCTCGAATGTATGGTCACTAGAGTAGTGTTCGATATAATTTTTTAATTTAATTTGAAAATTTGCTTTATTTGACTTAAATACATGCATTGATTTTTACATAAAGATACAAAATATATACACCTATTCTGGGAATATCATTATACTATCATAATATAATTGATATAAGTTACTTGCGTTGATATAAATTATTTGCGGTTGATATAAATTACTTGCCACTTCAGTAAATTTGATTATTATTCCTTGAAAGAGTGAGTGCAGATACATAATTCAGCTTGTGATTTTTCAATAATATAATTATCAAGTATTTTAAGCATTTTACAATTCTGATTAAATGCGCCAACTTTTGATGGAACTTGCCAACACACTTTAGTACATTTCTTAAAAGAGAGTATCTCAAAGTCGACCAATTTTAAAAAATTCAAATTCATAGTTCAACAAAAAGTCCTAATTTCTGAAAACTTCGTGCGATTGTGGTATTTTTCATACTGTGGTTCTAGAAATGTTATTTACGGTTATGGTTCCAAGGTGTGAATGAACAAAATTAATAAAAGTTAATCACAATAACCGAAAAATGGTAATAATTTTACCAAAGCCCGAGGTTGCACTTAAAAGCTCTTAATTTCAGCTTGACATCAAAATCTGGAACACCCTGTAAATATTTAATACACGTTTATGAAAAGATTTCATTTTTGAATCATTATTCATATTGTTTTTAAACCAGTACTCCAACGTGATCCCTAAGGAAGTCGTATTCATTCATCTTAATGTCAACAATTATTTTTATTTTAGAGAATAAATTCATTTAACATTTTTTATTTATTCTGACATGACCATGTAATCACTCAAAAAAAACTTTGAATACGCCTTGTCCGGTGAGTCATTATTAAAAATAAATCCGTTTGAGAAGCAGATTCTAATTATTATTTGTAAAATTAAATTTATTTATACTAAATTAATTGTTTTTATGATTTTGCTGCTTTGAAGCATTACAATTAGGCTTATACAAAAACTGATATTTTAGGAAATCGGTTTTCGAATAATATTTTCTCTAAAAAACGGTTTTCGATCAAATAATTTCGAGCGATTAAAGTCTGAATGAAATTATTTATCCTTCAATTTCATTTTTATTGTGTTAATACAATTAAGTAGAATTTGTACAATTTAGTAGAATTTAATGTTCTTTAATAAATTAATGCAGCGGTTTGCAACCTGTGGAGGCGCCCCCTCAGGATGGCGCCAGACTGTTCTATTTTCGAAAATAACCCAAAATTTATGAAATGAATTTAAATAATAATTAGTTGTTATGCATATTGTTACATAATATTGCATATTAATTTGTTGTCTGATAATATCAGTTGAGTAGATATTTATAAAATTAAATTTTTGCAAAAATTAAGGTGGGCGTAACAATTTTTTTATTAAAACAAGGGGGCTCGGTGCAAATAAGATTGGAAACCACTGAATCAATGTCATTAATAAAAGAAAAAAATAAAGAATAAATTAGTAGAACAAAAAAGTAATATTTGACCAGGATTAAATATCTTAAAACACAATTAATTATTCGTTGTTTATGTATAATTTTTACATATAAGGATGTAAATATTTTTATAATAGCTGAACGAAGGCTATCGAGTTGTAATAGTGTTTTCATGAATCTTATACATTTGGCTACATTTGTCATTTTTAATTCTCTTGTTATAATACCTATATGTATAGAAATAATGATAAATTTGTAAATAACGAAAACGTTCAAAAATTAGAAATATGATATTATGGTTTAGTGATGTGCCAAGTCGAATCAAGTGATTCGAATCATTCGAATCAAGCCTTTAACGACTTGATTCGAATCAGATTTTACTTGATTCGAATCAACTCGTATCAAGCCGCGAAATATTTACTGTGATAAAATATGTATGAACACAAATTTTCATAAATATGAAAAAAATATTTTAATTTAATTTAATATTATAATGATATAAATAATAATAAATAACATAAATGACATAAATATAAAAAATAATCATGAATTAAATCATGCGAGCCAACCGACTGTAATACGCTTAAATGTACGCCGACTCCAATCGTTTTTGTATGACTTTAACTGCATTCATTAACTAACAATATCATCCGACTTTATATGACTCAAACCAATTTATTTCGACTTCAAGTCTATATAACTTCATCCGAGTTCCTATGATTCAAACCGACTTATTTCGACTTCAAGTCTATATGAATTAATCCGAGTTCCTATGATTCAAACCGATTTATTTCGACTTCAAGTCTATATGAATTAATCCGAGTTCCTATGATTCAAACCGACTTATTTCGACTTCAAGTCGGTATGAATTTATCCGAATTCCTATGATTCAAACCGATTTATTTCGACTTCAAGTCTATATGAATTAATCCGAGTTCCTATGACTCAAACCGACTTATTTCGACTTCAAGTCGCTATGAATTCATACGAGTTTATATGACTCAAACCGAATCATCCCGAGTTCAAGCGGCTTGAACGATATGAGTTCGAAACATGTGTCTGTGTCTTAGCGTATCGACTTATCGACTTGCGTGTTTGTTTATTTTTGACTAAGCGCTGAGAGCCAATTTGTTCCTGAAATATAAAAAACTCATTTAGATAATAAATACGCGATTTAGATTTTAATTAATATCGAAATAAACTACACAACGAGTTTTATACACATACAAAATTATCATATTTTATTACTTGCATAATGGCAAATTCACACAAATCAAATAATATCAATCTTTACAGTAGTGAATTTTAAGTCATTCGTAAGACGTTAGTTTCAGCTCCCTGTTTAGATTAGATCTAAACAATCAATAATATACACATGCATTCGTTCAACGTAAGATTAAGAATATTGTTTTATATGCTTTAGTGATAGAGAAGTGTTTGGTTATATTTTATTGTAAATTTACTTGAAATATTAGTTATATTTGTAGCTAGTTTATTATTATATATAATATAAATGTATTCATCTCTGCACTTTTTGAAATTAATTGTTTACTAAATTAATTATTTCACTTATAAAATTATTAAAATGATATTATTTCTTCTCTTAAATTATAATTGCTCATATATGAACTTGATTCGAATTGATTCGAATCATGATTCGAATCAGGTTTTTTTCTGATTCGAATCATTCGAATCAAGAAATTTTCGAGTCGGAACATCACTTATGGTTGATAGATTGCTAATCACGATGGCTATTACAATTTTGGCCTTTTCATTGCTAATTATTTTATAGAATATATTATATTTCTGTTTTTAAACTTTTTTTAGTAAGAAATTTTACTTACCTGTGTTACTTCACAAATCATATATCAACAGGTTGTTGATTAAGCGTGAGCATTCTAAGGCAATTACGGAAAGCAGAAAATGTGGTCTCGTTCATTATTCTATAATTTTGTTACGCAACTACTTAATCTACAATAAAATCAGTCTCTTTTCACCTCCTATAATATTCTATTCTAGGTGGTAGTATGTCACCTGGTGTGTGTTTGAAACGTACAGGTGTCGTATTTTTCACTATTCTCGAATACATGACATCTCCCATTGCCGTGCGGGATTTGCGACCGTTGAAATGTACGACCTTGCCTCGCACCAACCCGCCACGGGCTTTGTGCATAATAATCTTCATTTCGGATTTCATCGCCATGTATCATCTAGTCAAATGGGAACTAGGAATAGAAAGAGCGCCGGTCATTTTATTCCCTTTTTTATGGAAAATTTAGATCAATGTATTTATGTGTATAAATATTATTATACTTTTTGTACTTGTAAAGGTGAAGTTTATTTTCGCCAGAGAAAACGGATTTGCTCATTTTTTTTCGCGACGTTTCAAGTCATTCTGAATTATTTACTAGCAAGATTTGAAAAGTATGTGTGTGTGTGCGAGCTGATTTTTCATTTTTGACGACGTTTACTCGGATATCAAAAATTTAAAAGTAATTCGATCTAACTAGATAAGTACTCTTGTTAATCAGATTTGCCTTTTAAAGTTCCTTCATAATTAACAGAAAGGTGTAAACTTTGTGTGCACGTTTTAGTCAAAAATATTGATTTTGGTTTTGATTTTGATTTAAAAAATTCAAAAACTGTTTCAAATATATTATTTGGCGATCGTGTTGATTTCTTAGTAAAAATCGGTTCTGGTCTAATTTTTAGACTCTAAAATATGGGTTTTTAATCTTTTTCACGTCTTGAACGAAACTTGGGCTTTGCCATGCTTTCTCAGTGAACATCTTAAAAAATTAAACGATACGAAATTATATCGTAATTATAAAAAAATGAATTATAAAAAAAACATTAAAGTCTGGGGTAATGGGCCGCCCTTTGAAGACACAAAATCTCATATTTGTGCACTATTTAATACAATTTAGGATATTTTAGGATATACATGAATAGATAGAGTAATTACTCTATCTATTCGTGTATTTTCCCTATAAAGGTCAATGATCTAATCACATCATATTGTATTCAACTACAATGATGAGATTGTTTATTTTGTTACATTGGTTATTTTGAAGTATTTGTAACAATTCATGAACTAAATAATCTTATAAAGTTTGATTAAGACGTTTTTTTGGTTGTTAACTTTAGAGAAAAATAACGACAAACTATAAGAAAAATACACAGC